GGGGGGGGGGGGGGGGGGGGGGGGGGGGGTACGCAGACAGATATACATGGTGGGTGTGCTGGACTTGACGCGCTAGGCTCTGCTTGCCTGCCCACGTCTCACTCTCTAAGTATTCAAGGACCTTGAGTAACTCCTTTGTGCAAAACGCTCTCGACAGTAGCCCGCGAGCGTGATAACATAGTGCACGCGCGGACACCCCAAACACAAAAGGACGGCACAGTGGAAGCATGGCCAGAGTGTGCCGCCAGCGAATGCCTTTTGCCTCTCGCTCTTCACGTACGCTGCACGCACGCACGATTATCTATTGTGGCACACTCTTGGTGCATACTCCCTTCCGCGATGCTCCATGGATCACCTTGCAAACGAAACCGTAGCTAGCCGCCATCAGAGAGAAGAGAGCATCAAACCCAATCCCCCCGTGCCTAAAAACGTTCTGCAGGTGGAAACCCTCGAGGCCGAGCTTCGATGCCTGGAACGCCGCGCTCCTCACAGCCGGAGAAGAGCACCATCGACAGCCGCACACCACCGCCGCCGCTCCGCTTCCCCCCCCGGCCTCCCGCTGCCTGCTGGACGAGGACTACGCTCCGCGGTAGACCCTAGTTTCTCGTGGCCGCAACCGCGGAGCCCCTCCACGGACGGGCTCCGTGTTTCGTCTGTGGGTGGCGAAGATTTCCGGTACAGCGGAAGTCGACGCTTGTGGGCTGTGCGCGGGGCGGGTGGCGCGCGGCATGGGCAGGGCGACCTGGATGTGGGTTCGGATGGAGGAGGCCGGGGGGCGGGGGCGGCGGGGGTTGGGGCGGAGGCGGCGGCGAACGAGGCCGCAGCGGAGGTGAGGCACGGCGCACATAGGGGGTCACACGTGGGGGAGAGGGGTGGGGGTGGAGGGAAGGAGGGAGAGGGAGGGAGAGACATAGAGAGAGAGAGAGAGAGAGAGAGAGAGAGAGAGAGAGAGAGAGAGAGAGAGGATGAGACCTGTCCCCCCTTCGAAACACTATGTCGGAACGTGTGTGGAGTGAGTTGAGCTCCAAGCCTCATTTCTGCGCCACGCGAGCGTGTCCAAGATGTGATCAGTGAATGAGTGAGAGAAATGAGAGATGAGTTTCTCATTGATGTTGTCATGGACTCTTCGCCGCGGACACAGCTTTTTCTCTTCCAGTAGCAAATAGGAGAAATAATCAGCCATTTTGTTTTTCTTAGTACGTTTCGGCGCGACGAATTTTTTTCAACGAGCGCCTCTCCCTCGTATGCCTCCGCCTGTGTAAACACCCACCCAACCCGTGCAGATGGAAGAAGCGCTTCTCGACGTGGAGACGTTTGTTCTGCGACAGGGAATCGCTAGGGCGGTGGACGTGAGACGCCGGGAGGCTGCGGAGTCCCGGCAAGAGGTTTCGGCTGCGGCGGAGGAGGAGGCGGAGGCGGAGGCGGAGGCGGCGACCGAACGAGCGGTGAGATGCGGCGTTCCGTCCCGCGTGGTTTTACGGGGTTCGATTGGCTTGTTGCCGTTGCGTTAGGTGCGATAACGCGCCGCGTGGTCGTGCAGCGTAGAATTACCTCTACTCCCTGCTGGATGGAAGCCAGCTACTATAGCTCCCTTGGGTAATCTGTGTAGACTGCATTTCTCCAACCACAAAAATGCCGTTTGTGACCTCGGCGTGTGCGTCCAAACAATCGGAACGGTGTACAATAGAGACGACGTCCAGCATCAACGCTACGACAATACACCTAGTCTAACGCACCATTCAAATTTCAAGGAGTTGTGAGGGGGGGGGGACGCGGGGTATTACTCGCTCTTGTTTCTGTTTTTTTTTGTGTCGTTTTCGAGTGCGCGGGGCCTTGCCTCAGGAGTGGCCATTCTGTTTTGTTATTGGTGTGTGTATTGAGGAAATTCCTGGGTTGTAATTTACGTTGTTCAGTCGTCGTTAAACGAAACGATGTATTGGGGGGCGAGTGCCGCACCTCTTTTGCGAATTTCGTGACATCTCTCCGCACGGTGCGGGGGAACTTCGGAACGCGTGCGCATTGATCTTGGGCGAAGTTTGTTCTGTGGCGGAATTATCGACCCGCATACAGTAATGTGAAGACAACAACAATACAGCACACGGGGGGGTGGGGAGGGCGTGTGTTTGTGTCAGTCCACCCCGATCGATGCGTGTACGTGTACGTATGGCATCCAAGATTGGCCATCTACAGAAACTATTGCGTGTCATTTGCTTGGCATAAACTGCCGGTATCCGAAGTCAAAAAGTAGCGTGTGGTCCTGACGTGCCTCACGAAGGAATAAGGCACGCCCGTGACAGAGGTAATTGAATACCGCCCCTGTCTACTGAACGGTCGTTTATTGTTTCTTTGGCGCTTTCTCAGCGGGAGGCTCGATGGGAAGCTGAGAGGTCGTCGCTAGAGGCGCGCTTGGCCAATCTGGAAGAGGAGGGGGCAAGCGTGAGGCGAGAAGCAGACGAGCAGGCGGCAGAAGTGGAGGCTCTCAAGATTCAGGTAACGCTGCCCGTAGCTACGCGAGTTTGGTGAGGTCTATCTCCTATCTGTCTCTCCCTCTCCCTCTCCCTCTCCCTCTCTCTCTGTCTGCACGTGTTCAGCGAAGCGAGAGATTTTTGCTCCCGTATTTGGTGTTGCAAGTACGCAATGAATGTGCTGTAGCTTGTTTTAGTGTTTTATTCCCTTATTTACGTGCTCCTCTTTGCCCGGCACTGACGAAGCAGCGAGAGAACCTCGTCCGGCGCGTGGCGTCGGCGGAAGCGGAAGCAGCGCTGGCCCGCGCGGTGGCTGAGCGCTCTTCCGCCTCCTCCCCCTCCTCCTCCGCCGCGCCCTCGCAACAACAACAGCAGCGGCAGCAAGGAAGCGGGGGCGAGGATTCCAACGGCACCGCCGCCGTACCGCCGCCTTCCCCGTCTGCTCTCACCGCCGTCGCCGATGCCGTCCCCTCCGACCACCACGCGGCCGCCCTCCTGGCCGCAACGCTCGCGGGCGCCCGGTCGGACCTGGGGTCGGCGCGCTCCGACCTGGGCCTCGCCCGCGAAGAGCTGGACGCCCTCCGGCAGCGGCTGTCGGAAGAGGAGGGCCACAGGCAAGAGCTGGAGCGACAGTTCCGTGTGGAACGGGAGCGGAGGGAAAGCGAGGCGGTGTCGGGGGCTAGGGCGGCGGCCGCGGCCGCGGCCGCGGGCAGGGACGAGGTTAGTTTGTGTCTTGCGGGGGGGGGGGAGGTTGCAGACCTCGACCTGTCAGCAAGACGAAAGGAGGCGAGAAGTTTGGTGGAGTCATGAGTCGCGCCGTAGTGATCCGTCCGCGTTGTTGCGGTCTGTCTGTCTGGTGCACTGGCGTGGTGCTGTACGGAATATGTCCAACATTTATCGTTTCTTTAAGATTCGGAAGCAACGATACAACCATTCCAAGAACAGCAGCAGCAACACCGAGAAAGCAGGCTACGATATAACCATTCCAATAACAGCAGCACCGCAAGCTGCAGCATGACGATTCCAACAACCCCACCACCAGCACTGCCTCACAGATCCACACACCAGCGCCACGATCCCCCCCCCTCCCCTCCCGTTCACCTCACTGAACTCCTCTCGGCTTTTCATACACTCAAAATCATCCGTTCCGAACATCATCCAGGCGGAAGGCAGGCTCGACGTCGCCCAGCGGACAGTCACCGCCCTGGAGCAGAAGTCGGGTGGGCTCGAGCAAAAGCTCGGGTCACTGGAAGAAGAGGCCGCGGCCGCGCGGCGCGCTCTTGCGTTGGCGGAGCGTGAGCGGGAGAGGCTGCAGGGGCAGAGGAGGGGGCTAGGGGAGGAGCTAGCCTCGGAGCGGAGGGCGGTCGCGGCGGCAGAGAGGCGGGCGGACAGGCTGGAGGAGCGGCAGGGTGGACTGGAGAAGGAGCTGGAGGCGGCGGTGGTGCGGGCGAGGAGGGGGGAGGAGAGCGCGAGGGAGCTAGACGACCGCTTGCAGGTTTGTTTAGCTGATGCAGCCTTTTTGGTGGTGGTTGTTGCTGTTGTTGCTGTTGTTGTTGCCGATGCAACCGGGTCTGGTCGGCTGTCGTTGCAGCGTTTAGTGTCCCGACGCATATCTCTCATCATATTTCCAGGTACAGTGTTCGACTCCGAAGGGGGCTGTGCTTCTCCTTGGGCATGGCTGTGTTGGTCGGGGGCATTGCTCGTTGTCGGTATCCTCCTGGCCGTTGAAGCTACAGAACCACAAGACAGATCGCCCGTCGTGTAGTCGTTAGCGCTGTAACATGGTCCGGTCATGATAAACTTCCAGTGGAACAAATAGCACAACATGTCCTGAATCACTTCCCTCGCCCCCCCCCCACCACACACACACACAGTTGGAGAGCCGGCGCAGACAGTCTGTGGACCGCGCGCTGCACGACGCGGAGGCCAAGCTCCGGGAGCTCAATCGCCGAGACGAGACCACCGCCGCACCGGTCGACGATCTCCGTCGCCTGGCGACAACAGCGGCTGCGGAGGAGAATGACGCCGTTGTTGTGGAACTACGGGGACAGGTGTCGAGGGCCAGGGAGCGGGCGGAGATCCTGGAGGAGCGCCTCGACGAGACGGCCAGGGTGAACCGCCGCCTGGAGAGGGAGGTGGCCGAGGCCGTGGAGCTAGGGGTGAGCAGGGAATGCCGGTTCCGTCGAAGCTGTAGCGGTCCGTGTTGTTGTGTACGAAATACGTAGTTTGAGAATCACGTTGGATTTTGATGTCTTGGTTTCTTTTCCCCCAAAATCCTGAGCTATCTTGTGTGTTGTATGGGGTTTTAGGGCGCGCATTGTGTAGCTGGGGTTGTAGCTTGCTGCCGGCGGGTAGGGGAGAGACGAGAGAATGTCGGTTTTCGTGCTCGGAGGTAGGTTTTCGAAGCCTGGGTTGGTTGCTTTTGCCACCGCTACTGGTGGCCTGCGGTCTTTCGACCCCCCTGCTCTCCGTCTACGTGGAGGCCCGTCCATCAGATAGTTGATCCGATCGAGAACCACTCGAAACCTTAACCTTTCGCCAGCCAGAGCGAGAGAGCGTGGGCCACCCTCTCGTGTCGTACGGAAATACTACAGTTGGTCGTACCGACATGGGGCTTCGAAGCCATGTCGATGCATCAAAGGATGGCTGTTGCACACTGTTACACACTCCCCGAGCGGCGTGTGGATTGACAATAAATCAACGCTGGCCTATCCTGTCGTTACCAACGATGCAGCAATACCAAGTGCATGGGTTTTTAGTTTCTTACAGACATGCAACATTGCGACTCACGACGGAGTGAAACGTAGCCTTCTCTCTCAACCCAAGCAATCATGTCTGACGTATACTCCCAACAGAGTCCGAATATAGACCTGGAAAACTATTTGTAAACCCCTTCGTGTTTGCGATCCCCCCCCTTCCCCAAGGCCCGCGCGGAGGCCGAACTAGGAGCAGCTCTGGCGGGAGAGCGCCTGCGGCGGGACGGGGAGCTTACCGAGATTAAGTCCGTGGTGGACGAGATGATGACCCTCGACCCTTCCGCGAGCGGAGGAGGAGTGGCCGGCATCTCCGGAGATCTGTTCAGCCCTCCCCGGGGCGGGCAGCGCGGCGGTGGCCTCGTCGTCGATCGGAGGAGCAGCGGAAGGGGCAGCGGCGGTGCCGGGCACAGCGGCAACCTCGGGTACTACAACACCAGCTCCAGGACCCTGAGGGCAGAGGAAAGGTCGGCGAACGACACGGCAGCTTTTCCGTACCCCGGAGTCGTGGTCGAACCGGGGTGGAGGTCTGCCCTGACCACCACCACCAACGACGGCGCCGTGGCGGCGGCTACCGCCCGGCTGGCCGAGGCCTGGTCCCTCCTCGAGTCGTCGGAGGCTGCGAGGAGGCGTCTCTCCGAGGAAGTCAAGGCGTGGGCGATCAGGACGGCTGGCCTGGAGGAGGCCCTCGCGGCAGCGGAGGCCACCGCGGAGGCGAGGGCGAGGGAGGCCAGGCTGCTGGCGGCTGGCTTGCAGGACGCGAGGGACGGGCTGGCCGTCGAGGAGGAAGCCCGCAGGGAGGCCGAGGGCCGCGCCGACGCGTTGAGGTGGCTACACCGCTGTGCAGGCTTGGACTGTGTGTTGTGTTCCGTGGGTGTGCATGAGGCGTGAGCATGAAGTGACTTTTTGTTTCATGTCCTCCCCCAGAAATGGAGCACACGTACACATACGTACGTGTAACCACATCAAAAATATTATTTTTACAAGGTTTGTTTGTTTTGTATCTCCACTTCAAATCAGCTCTCACTGCGTTTCTGCCGCTTACTCCAACCCGTGGTCACACTGAAGGGTTCCTCTCCCAGACCACGAACGAAAGCGAGGGAAAAACTCTTTTTGCAAGAAAAGTTGGCTTACGTCGGGATTCGAATCCCTGACCCTGACCCTGACGGTCGAGGATGCGTGCTAGACTACCGGGGCGACCGTAACCGCATGCATGAAAACCAGAGAAGAATGGGGAAAGGAATAATATATATATGCATGCATGGCGTGTGTACGGCGGGGGGCAAGGGGGGTGGGGGGGGGACGCTGAAGGCAATGCACACGCCTCCGCCCCCCCCGCTCCGTCCGAAAAAGAAAAACTTGACGGAGAATTTATGCTTGCCGCCTTTTGTCATTTTGCCTCTCGTGCCCTCACACGCAACAACGTGTCCTGCCTGGTGTTTGGTGTTTTCTTGCACCGCTCCTAAAGGAACATGCTTCAGGCGGGAGGCGGGAGCGGAGGTGGCGTGTCCCCCGCCGGTGGCGGCGGTGGCGGTGACGTTGCGAGGAACTTGGCTGGGCAGGTGAAGGCGTTGCGATCTCGGGTGGAAGAGCTGCTGGAAAGAGCTAGGGACGCCGAGGTAAGGCGTTTTTTTTTCGCGTTTTTTCTCGCCAGGCGGCATTGACTACAAAGTAAATAGTATGCTTAGACACAGTAGGCACCACTGAAAAAAATGGGAACTGAATCCTTTCGGGAAAATTCAGGCTCAATATTTGCCGGGTAGTTGATGTTGTACAACTTGTTCCACCCAGTGTTGTTTGTAAGACCAGGTGCTCTGTTCAGAACCTTGCACTCAAACCGACCACGAAGCATTGCATGTTTCAGTCGTTGTTGTCTTGCCCTACAGAGAAAGTAGCAAGCGAGCCTCGGGCAGGACTACAGTAATTTCGATGCTCGCTCTCTCTTCCTCTGCGGTGTTTGTGTGAATTGCTCCTTCCTCTTCCTCTGGCAGGTGCGCGAGGTACTCGAGAAGCGAGGACGCAAGGCCGCTCAGCGCGCCCTCCGGGAGCTAACCTCCGGCAACGGCAACCACGACAGCAGCGTTCACACCAGCGGCATGGCCGCCGCCGCCGCCGCCGACACCACCACCAGCACCACCGCCTCCAGCCGTGGCCTCGGGGGCGGCGGCGGAAAGAGACGAGCGTTAAACCACCCGTACCGCAACAGCGCCTCCACGGCAGCTTCTTCTCGACGAACTCCTTTGGGAGGCGTGTCGGCCAACGATGCCGTTGCCCCGGCTAGGTTCGCCGGCGGCGGCGCGGGAGTAGCGGGGTTGGCGAGCTCCGGGGGCGGTGATGATGCCGGGCGAGGGGCTAGAGCAGTAGCGGACCCCGGGCCCGGTGACCAGGGGGGAGACGGGGAAGGGGATGCGGTTTGGTTGAGAGAGGCGGAGGCGCTGCTTTCCCAGGGACACCAGGATTTGGGGTTTTAGCGAGTGTAAGTGTAAGCAAGTGCGGTAGTTGATTTATGATAGGCAATGGGCCTTAGGCAATGCAGCTTGCCTCGGGCAACCGTTCTGGTCCTTAAGAGATATTCGGTGTCCTTTTCACGACGGTGTAGAGAGAGCGCAGACGAGAGTGTCTTACATAATCATGATTGTACTGGTATTTGGTTTAGGATGTGCACCGTTGTGGGGAGCGGGTATTAGGACGACCTCAGGATTGTGTTCGTTGTATGGATAACAAGTTTGGGAGCAGTGGCGTGGGGGGTGGAAACGTGTATATTGGCCAAGTCAAGTGGCAAGGGATGTAGACAAGGTGTATGCATGTCAAGTAGCGAAGCGATTCATGTTCATGAGAAAAGCATTCTAGCCGCCAGCTAGGTGGGGACGAGAGATGAGATACGACGCAGGCATGCAATTTTTTTTCCGCCGATCCCCGATGTGAGGGGCAGAAACTACCTATCAATCGCCCACACAGAGTGTGGACTTGACAACGAGACCACAACACAATTCTGGTAGGCCTCTTTGTTGCCCAAGGGTCTGCAAAGGGTGTAGACAAGATCCTGTCTGTTCGGTTGTACGCGTGCAGGAACACGCAACATGTAGCGGAAGGGCTTCGTATAATAGTCCTCAGAGCGAGCTAGCTTTCAACAGGAACCACGAACAGGTCGCTGGAGCGTTGCGTAGAAGGAGGGCAAAAAACCGCCGTGCGGTCTCTTTACCAACACCCCACCCATCCTCTCCGGCACTTTCCTTGTCAAGGCATTTAATTCTCTTACGCATCTAAGGGTCCAAACAAGTTGTGGTACAAAGCAAATAGTTAATTTAAACAGAAAAACGTTCCGCGAAACGCGAGAAAAATAATACAAGTTCTTACAAAATGAAAGGGCACTGAGGGACGTGTCTTCTCGTCATGTCTCTATTATCAAGATGCAAGAGAGGGAACATCTTCTGAGAAACCTGTAGGGTAAAACGCTCGGGAGCCAGCCATGCCTGCTCACTATCGTGCGGCCGCGTCTCTCTTCAAAAGGTAGTCGCACACCTGAGCACCACGCCTACTTGAGAAACCACAAAAAAGGGGTCTATTACAGAAGTCCCGGCAAAACAACCCTCTCTCTGCTTGAGCCAAGGCTACACAGCTTTCACGTCTCCTGGCTCTCTACATGTATGAGATGCGACATGGCCAACCAAGACACACAGGGTGGTTTGTTGCCCCCAACCTCCCCACGACACCCCCGACAGTAGACACAAACAAACCAAGAGCGTTTGGCGGAGGAACCGTATGGGTATTGCGAGAAAAAAGAGAAATGCAAAAGCAAACATGTGCTGTGCGGCCTTCCTTTTTTCGTTGTCTACCCCGGCTAGTGAGATTGCACCGGAGGATGTAAAAACCGATGTCCAGAATGAAGGGGACGACAAACCAAATCAAAGCTCTACTGAAGGGCGTTACAACGAATGAAACACATAGTAAAAGAATCGTCTTCGAAAGTCCAAACAAACACGTTCGCCGATGGTACAGCCAGTATGCACAAGGACCAAATGACAAACATCGGCCGCAGCAGGCGCAAGCCTCTCCAGCGCTCGGTTCGTGCTATCGGATGTCAAAGCCTTCCGAACGCAGGCATTCCTTGTGCGCCTCGATGAAATTTTTGCACTCCTCTTCGCCGTTCATGATGACACAGTCGTCCCTAGCCTGCGGGCGGGGGTCGAGAACGAAAAAGACAAAATCAGCAAACAATAGCAACCAAAACAGACGTGAAAATATAAATATACCCAACTAGTGCTGCAAGCCACTGTTACTGTTGTAGTACATACGGTGCCGTAATTTTGCCAAGAAAAAAAGAGGGTGCATAGGCGCGATCGATTCTTAAGGCTCGATTGTACCACAACCAACAGGAAACAACAAAAAACATGTGGGATGGAATGGTACACCGCGATCGGTGGGGGCCTCGGACGGATCAATTGGAGTCGTTGGATCTTCATGCGAGGAGGGGAGGCCGTGAACAAACACGGCCAGTCTCCCTGAATCTAGAAAATCATCATCATGAGTTCTTTCCTCACCGGCCCTCGACAACACACACAAACACACACGCACGCGTTCTTCCAATGTGCTTGCAACCCGGCACTTTCGACCCGCCAGACACGGGCGGGATACCATGGAATCGCCGGACGGCAACGCCAATTAAATCTCGCTAACATCCACTTTTCACTCAACCGCTGCAGTAGTTCTGAGTCGACTAGTATCGACCGCGCTTTGCGGGCAACAAACGAAAAAAAGGGAATAGGTGAGGGAGTGCGTGGTCGCGTTTGCTCTCCACACATGTACATACGCACGTTGTCCTCGGTAGTCGCTGTGGCGAATTTTTCGGGTTTTCTATTTCCAGTTCAGGCATAATAATTCCAGGAATACATGTTGCATGCCAGCAATGCAGTGGGAATATGGAACCACAAAAAACGCCAACGAAAAAACAGCAAGCAGAGTAAATGCTGAGCCTCGGACGGATCAATTGGAGTCGTTGGATCTTCATGCGAGGAGGTGAGGCCATGAACAAACATGGCCGGTCTCCCTGTAATCGAGAAAATCATCATCTTGAGTTCTTTCCTCACCGGCCAGCCAACCTATCTATCGCAACCAGACAAGGTCCACCAGTCACGGCAAACCAACAAAAACAATTGTCGAACAAACTCATCAGGCAACAATCACGCCGCGACATCATATTCATCGCGCGAGCGTGGAAATTGTAACTCCCGCGTACTAGTACAGCAAGGGCCACATTGTGACATCACCATACTGTCCGGTATGGCATGAAAACATTCCATTATCGCTTGACCGTCACGAAGCTGCTGTCTCGAGAAAAAAACGTGCAGCGAAAAATATGTGCTTCGTCCCTCGAATTTCGACAGCCCAGCAGACAAAGCGCAACCACAACGAGAGAGACGATTTCGTCGGCAAATGCTCCGACAAAAAGGAGCGCCGGGGGTTATGTGTGGTACACGACAAGCCTCGGACGGATCAATTGGAGTCGTTGGATCTTCACTAGAGAGGGGCCACGACCCTTGCGAGCCGCACCCCTCCCCAACTCCAGAAGTTCATCATCTTGAGTTCTTTCCTCACAGGCTGGTATCGTAGAGTTGGCAAGCTTCCAAACAAAAAACACTTTCATGCTGGCAGACGACAAGACATGACGAAAAATGCGGTGCACGCAGGTGCGACAAAAAAACATTCGCCGATGGCATGCACAATGGGTACTGAGCGGACAACACAACGGCTGTTAAGTTATTATGCAAAGATGCAGACAACAGGGCAGGCAGCCTTTTCAATATTTGTTGCGCTCAAAAACGAAGACCTTGGAAAGTTACCACAAACTCGCCCAACCGGCTGCGGTTTACGTGTCATGACTTGAGGTGTGCAAAAAACGAGGATGCGAAACTGAGGCTCAGTTCTCAAAGATTAAGTTTTTTTACCCCCACGATGTGTGTCGGGAAAAGGTTTTGATCGATCACAGCCTCCTTGTCCACGCTACAAATCCCACCTGACAACACAAAACAAAAAGACTGCACTGAATGAGGGGGTCACATAATGTGCGCTCTTCATGACCGCCAAACGTGACGTGCAAGCCACGACATCTCCACAGCACACAATGACAACACAACATACTTTTTGTGTGTCAACGCAGCAGCGCGCGTTGCTGTTTATGAATGAGGGGGTGGAGGGGAAGCAAAAACTCGTGGGCTCTATTTTCAAGGCACACGGGACGGCAATCTAGCTGGTGTGTCCCAGGAGAGGCCACGGCATAACCAGGAACCCATGGATGTATGCTGCAAAGCTGACCTGAAAGCAAAAAAAAACTGAAAGTGGAGGCAAAGGGCTCAGTTCTCAAAGATTATTTTTTTGCTCCCAACATGTGGTGTCGAGCAAGAGTTTTGATCCATCACAGCCCTGCCACGGATATACTGCATGTTATATCTCCAACTCAAGATACGACCGGCGCACCTCCGCCATCCTTTTTTTGAACGGGGTTGAACCCTCCAACTTCTTGGAACGGGTCAATCACGGTCCGACTCGGTCCTTCCAACCGTGCGGCAGCCTCAAAGGGTCGTGCACTAAATATAAATACTACGTAAGGCCATGGAGAAACACCACGGCGACACACTTCAAACACGCGAAATACATCATGGCAAGGGAAGGTGAAGTGGTGAAACCTGTGACCACCACCGCCGTGTAAGCAGACATGGGCCTTCGAGGAAATCGGCGAAACACGTCGCATTTCTGGCTGCAAGGGTCCGTTTGTGCACGCACGCGGCTTGGTGCCTACTAAAACGAGTTTCCGCCGAACATCGCTAACCAAACACTCAGCCCGCGTAACCTCTAAGGAATGCCACGTCAAGTGTCCGCGTAAGCCCTCCTCCAGGAAACTGCGACAGCAAGCGAGGGACGGAAATCGCAAAACGCCCGGAACTACTGCTGTGCAGTGTTCACATGATGTCAGCCATTTCAGCGGCTTTCAGATCTCTTGAAGGACGTCGCGGGTTGTATTCCAGAGGGTTTGGGTGGTTTGGCTCGGCCGAGGAGAAGGAGAATCCAGGTGGCCAACAAAACTCGTGGCACACCTCCTTCTCCGCATAACCTACACCGCTGTGGTTGTATGGGAAGGTATGCATAGTTGCATAAGAGAAAACAACAGGCGTGAGCGCTGCCGCGTGTCTGAATACGGAGGTTTCAGATACCAGAGACATGAGTGCGGCGGTTGTAGTCTACAGCAGCAGTTCCCTCTTTTGAACCTGCGCAACGAGCGCAAGACCTGTGTTTCGATAACAATGATGGGATTGTGCACGATGCTGCTGCTGCTGCGAAATACCAAACGTTGCGTCAACTGTTGTCCTGAGGCTGTTCTATGCGTAGAACCATCAAGCCGTCCGCGCGTTGGGCACACACAAAGGCCTCGTGCACACCACACGATTTGACCACACTCAGCGGGCAAGAAAACACTGCACGCCAGAAACGTCCCACCGCTTACATTTGCTCAACATCAAACAGGGGTTACTCAGCGCCCTCTGTCAGCAGAGAACCCTGGCCCAACAACAACTGCGTCAGCCTCACAACAAACACTAGTTCGCGTTGGAAGAAAGCACAAAAGCCAGCTATCTGGGTGTCTTACTCATCCCGCCAAACGCACCGCTTTTGTGTCTGGACAGGAACAGCAAATCTTCTTGCCCGACTTGCCGACCTGCGGTGGCTTCGCAGTCCCTGAGACGGGCACCATGATCTGCGAAGGGCTGGGAGTAGCCCCTGGAGGCTCGGTTAGCTTCGAACCAGATGATCCCATGGCACGTTGGTAGGATGTGTGTGCTGTGACTCTGCGCACTGCGCACTCGCACCCGGCAGAGGGGCCCCCAGGACAATGAAATTGTGAAATGTGGGTACCTGGAGTCATCTATAGTCCATTTGGCGGAGGCCCTTGGGTCGTCCCAAGGTGCATCGTCGTCCTCACCTTCAACCCTGCCCTGCTGCCGGCGGAGTCGAACGAAGGCCGACGCGGCCATGTTTGCTGCCTTTGTGGAAAACGCCACCAGTGGAGCCAAAATGATGCGGCGGCGAAGGCGAACAGATCCCAAGGACGCCATCATAGGTGGCAGCAGCAGCAACGTCGTACTGCAACCACTTCAGGGGGGTCGACGACCCAACAGGCGGCGGCCCAGACAATCCGGGGCTGTGGCAGCAGGGCTCGCCTCTTCCGCGCTTGCCTACCTCCTCGTCCTCTTCCTCCCCCCTGGAACCATGCCATCAGCCTCGGCCTTTACCGCTTCTTCTGTGCTGTTGTCGCCATCGACAGCCCTCGCAGGTAGTGCTGCATCGCGTGTCGTCGGCGGAGCAAGCGGCCTTCGAAGACGAGGGCAACAGCAACAGCAACAGCAGCACGGGGGGAGAAGGGTGACGGGCAGAGGCGGGTTGTCGACGGCAGTCATGGCAGCGGGCTGGCGGGACAAAGAGGACGGCCCTGCAATCGACCCCTTCGACGAGGGGAAAATGAACGCGCAAGGACAGCACGTTATCAACTGGTGGGTGACCGCGTGACCGCCCCAACAGCAGACTCGGCCGAGACTGTCATGATTTTCACGACAGGCCGGGAGTTGGCTGACAGGCCTGTAACAGGCTAAGGACGTGCAGCCCGCGAGTTTGTTGAGACATTGCTGTATCAGGCGAAGGGCGTGCAGCCCGTAAGGTTTTTCTGTGTTGAGTTTTCCAGTGCCTGGTTCTGCTATGAAGCCTGCCCCTCTAGGCACACTTATCAACATGTGTCAGGACCTAAGGACTATACGTATCTCACGTTTGTTTCAAAGAACACCGGGGCGCTGCGTGGACATTCATTGAACATCTGTTCTTCAGGTACCGGTCCACCCCTTGTCCATATAGCAGATATGTAGCCTGCGAACAGAGCTATCGCATGCCATCTATCGCACCAACACCCTGCCCGGTACCCCCTACACGTCCTGCTTGGGCACAGCGTAGCTGCGATTCCGGAACACACGAAGCGTTCCGGTTGTTGGAGATCGCCTACAATACCGTGTGACGGCGTCGTTTCTGCTTGCCTGCATACCTATCCATTACTCATCGCCGCGCGAAAAAACACCTCCACAGGTATCCGGGGCACATCGCCAAAGCGGAGCGGCAGCTCCAGGACTATCTCAACATGGTGGACGTAGTGGTCGAGGTCCGCGACTGTCGCATTCCCGCCGCAACAACACACCAGCTGGTTCCCTCGTGGGTTGGCAAAAGGTGACGACGCTTGGTAGCGGTGCATTGCCATGTACTTGAGTGGGCGAGGGTGAGATGGATGCGGTATGGGGTGCTGGGGGTGGTGGTGGGGGGGATACCATCCCCCACCTTCACTTGACGCCCGCTACAACAAGGGGGGCGTGCCTCCGATTTTCTTGTTGTACCTGCACGCCGCATGACCAGAGACAGCGGTTTCTCGTTGCCAGTAGGCCTTGTCCGTCACCTCTAAAACCCCAACCTCCTCCGTCACCCCTAAGCCTATCCTTGTCCGTCACCCCTAACCCTAACGTTGTCCGTCACCCCTAACCCTACCCTTGTCCGTCACCCCCTAACCCTAACCCAACCCTACTCCCCTTACCCTTGCTCACACGCCCCTGTCCGCCACCTCCCCCGGCCTACTGTCTACCGTTGACGTTTCTTCCCTCAAGCAGGCCTCTCATCGTGGTGCTGAACCGAGTGGACACCGCTTCCCCCACTGCCGTGGAGCAGTGGAAGAAGTACCTCGTGGCTGAGGGTGGCCTGCGTGCTGATAACCGCGGGGGGAACGTTCCAGTATTCTTCGTGGACTCGAAGCGAGGCAGGGGGGTGCACGAGGTGCGTGGTCGTGTAACGGGAACTCGGCGAAGGCCACAGGGCACAGCAAATGTGCTCTGCTGAACGTTTCCTTGAACCCCCGCGTCGTGCCCCGTCCCCCTGAAGGCGCGTACCAGATGGTATCACACACCTAAGTAGGATCCCAAGATTCCATCCAACATATCCCCTTCGACCGTGGTTATATCTCGACCAGGTAGTCGTTCTGTGGTTACATTGTCACTTCTATCTACTCCCCGCCGCATTTCCCTGACACATCCAGATCAAGAAGGCGGCGCTGAAGGCCGGGTCTAGGGTCAACGATCGGCGGGTTCGAAGGGGCATGAATCCGCGGAGCGTTCGGGTGGCCGTGATCGGCTTCCCCAACGTGGGGAAGAGCGCTCTCATCAACAGGCTCATCGGAAAGAAGGTAGCCAAGTCCATGAACAAGCCGGGCGTCACCAAGAAGATGAACTGGGTGCGGCTCGGCGGGAAGGACACCAAGGTGTGCGGAGGAGGAGGCGTGCGAACCGTCACATAGGTTGGGGTCAGGCGTTCATGTGATTGGACCCGTTGTTCGTTGTTCGGGGGGTGACTAGGGTTGTTGTTTAGATGCGGAACGCTTTGTAGCTACTGATGGCGCGCTGCTGTCGTGTCGTTTCTCTTGGCGATGGTAATGTCTGCTTCGTTGCGATGGTGCACGAACGTCAATGTTCGCCCAAGGATTCACCGTGTGTGTGCACGATTACTGCCTTTGCTTTTCGCTTCAGGGTGCATTCTGCAGACACTCGGCCGTATTTCTAGGGACGTGGCCTCTCACAACTCTTTCGACCAACACTATTGTTCATTGTCTCTCAGAAGCACAGCTTGCCTGCGTGAAAGGAAGGCTGGTGCGTACGGCTTTGAGATTACCAGCTGGTGGCACATACGCTCTACACCGGTTCCTGAAACTAGCACTTAACGATTGAAAGTACGGTGGTGGCACGTTCATCTGGACCGGTCCCTGAATCTCTCCACGTATTGCTCCATACTCCGTGTTGTTTTTTCCCTCCCTCCCGCGGAACACACAGCCTGAGCAAAACCTGGAACTCCTGGACTCTCCGGGGATCATCCCCGCTAGGCAAGAGGACCAAAACCAAGCCCTCAAGCTCGCCATCTGCAACGACATCGGGCAGGCCTCGTACGACACTCAGGTGACTTTACCCCCTTCACCAGAGCTCATAGAAGAAAGAGGCGTTTCTTGTCAGGGGCGGGAGGTACACATTTTTTTTCAGGGCGTGTTCCACAGATGCTTTGGAGAAGCTGGAAAATTACCACACACCAATCGTAGCGGTATCTCGTTGGGGAGGGCGCCGGATGCCGGATGGAATTTATTTGTGCGGCCCTCCTTGCCGGGCTTGCCACCGCGGTGGCCTGTGTGTTGCCTCCGGGGGGAGGGAGAAGGTGGCGCACTAGCGGTGACAAATACTACACGTGCAGCGGTAGCACCGTTCGAACGGGAGATCTTACAGCAGCGCATAGCTTCAATATTGTCGCTCTTGTCTCATGCTCTGCTGCTTGTCTCTGGTTGGCTGTGTCTTCGTGCCACCGTTCTTGCGTGTGTGCGGGCAATATTGATATTCCCCCTCGACGTCCAATCCAATCCCACACGACTTCAGGTAGTGGCGGCGAAGATGATCGACCAGCTCGTGGAGACAGCGGTGCAGTTCCCGGGGTATGTGAGTCTCGACGCCGTCGCTACGCGGTACGGCATCGACCCTAGGAGACACTCCGGGGAGGAATACCTGCACCTCGTCGCGCAGGTGGGGTAGCCTGTTGTTGTCGTGGTTGTTATTGCTGGCGATTTTGTTGGTGTCGGTGTCGGTGTTGGTGGTGGTGGTGTGGTTTTTGTTGTCGATGGTGGTGTGTGGTCATCTTTGGTACTGTCGTTGTCGTAGTCGTGGTCATCATTTTGTCCTTTTTGGTGTTGGTGTTGTAGCTGTTATTTGTCGATGCTGTTTTTTGTGCCCATGTTGATCACCGTTCTGGCCCCCGCCCGACACGCCCGCCTCCTCAATTCTCCAATGTGTCTTTGGAGGCCAAGTTACTCTGTCGGAGAACCACGGCAACGAATAATCCCCCTGGCCAATGGTTTCACCGCTAGGGCATGGCATTAGCACCCCCCCCCCTCCTCTGGGTGCTTGCCATCGGGATTGGGTTTTCGTCGCTTGGCAGCGATGTTGTAAAATAAGCCTATCACTTCCTGAGCTCCATGACCAGGTTACACCGTATTTTTTTTCTCCCTTTTTTTTTTTTTTGCGGGATCCCTGAAAAATGGTCCAATAAAACATGTTGTG